TAACTCAATTTTTTAAGGGGGAGAGTCCATCAAGACAGCTTGCTGTCTGGGCTTTCGCGAGTCGCCTGAGCGTTGCACTACTGCTTGGGCATGGCTCACCCCTCCAATATCAGTTTAATATTTGGGCTGTGTACTTCTTCCAATGCCTGGCGTTCCTAACCGAGTACATGGTTAGTGGATGTTATCTAAGATGACTAATGTTTCTCTAAGTTCTAACATAAAATAAAGTTAGATTTGTGGGTTACTGGAGGTTATTAAAAATTAAGAGATCCGAGTCTTCTGATTTAGATGAATGCAAATAAAGAATATGTATTAGGATCATACTATGTATTATGGGTCCATTGGCCCGTCTCTGTAAACCCTAATACCTCCCTATTTATAGGGCCTTTGATAATGAAACTATACGCTCAATTCTCCCTACAACAAGCACTTGATTTTTAGTTATATTTTTTTGACTATATTTTACGGAGCACTATTTTGATTTCTACCTTTCTTAGTTGAGTTGTAAATAATCTTTGATGAGTTGGATGAACTCTTTAAGTAGATATTTGTGGTTAATAATTTAACATCTTTTCATTTTTTGTAAAGAAATGATGGCACCGATTTTCTCTTAAATTATGTCTCAAATCACTTAGAATATAATATTTTTGTAACGGTGGAAAGAAGCAAATCAAGCAATATCAGGCTATCAGCTATATAATGACCAGAAGTCCAGAACATTATACGTTACTCAAAATAGTATTTCATATAAAACCGGTATAGAATACGCAAGTCTAGCACATGTTTTTTAATTGTACATCCGATCAGTTTGGGTTTTTAATTTTTAAGAGCCATTTTCTTCTAAAAAACAAAATTAAAAGCCATTTAAAAAATTGCTAGTTTTGTAACCAGAGAAAAAAATGTTAATTTTATATCATTCATGGATATGTCATCTGTTAAATCATAAAAACCCAACTTCAAACCAATAAATAATTAACTCTTAACAAATAAGAATTGTTAACAACCAAAAACTGTCAAGATACTAAGAAGCAATAATTGTTGGATTTTGTTGCTCAATATTTATTTGTCTACATACATACCTACATGTACAAACACAGATAGGTCATATGAGGAGATTTTAGTGACTATTTAAAAATGAACAAAAATGTAAATTTAAAGCTATATACTACGTACATATACAAACACAGATATGTCATATGACTTATGAGGAGATTTTAGTGACTATTTAAAAATGAACAAAAATGTAAATTTAAAGCTATACGTACACACAAGGATTCCCATGATAAGTCTTTCTAAAATAAGAACATGACTGAAATTTATATTTAACTTTCACCTTTCATATTCAAATCAAATGACTACAATTAAAAATGTGACGTTATTCTATTCTCTCGGTCACATCATAAATTTTCACTTGTCAATGAACTTCACCACCTTAACTTCTCAATTCTATTTTAGGAAAGAATTGACACTCTTAAATGATAACTTAATAATCGCATACTAAAAATTAAAACACTTATAACATTACAAATATCATCAATGATCTAATCATAGTATATATCTATCAAAAATACTTTTTAAAATTAGATATAAAATGAATGGGATATCTTTTTGGTAAATAGGAAAGTTTAGTTGTGCATATGTTTTGAGACTAATCGAACCATGTTTGCAACTAAATGGTATTGTTAAAAGGAGAGGGTATATTCTAAATACCGAGATATCACTGTAATATATGCTCTGCAATAAGTTGTTTTTAAATGTCTTGCACATTTACTTTCTATAAAGTATATTCTATATGTTTAACTATTTAATTTTCAAAGAAGATAAAAAGGACAAAGAGTTGATGTTGCCCACTAGTACCATACGAGAATTTTATTTAATGAAATAAATGAGAAAAGTTATCTAAGATGTTTCTTAGATTAGCTTTTAAATAAAGCTTTTGTGTTATTAAAGAGCTCTCAAAAGGTCACTCGTTATGTTTCGTTTGTTTTTTGATGGTTAATCGAAAATATAATCTCAATCCACAACATTTTGTAGCATTTTATGCCCCGGCCCCAAAAGAAAATCTGAATTGATGAACTTTGACCAGTTGTCCAGGTATTTTCCAATTAAATAAGATTGAATATTTGATATGGAATTATTAAATATTGTGCACCATAAAAAGATTAAGGATGTTTTCTTTTGGATTGAAATTTGTTGGTCTGATCTGGTGTGGTCTGAACTGATCTGGTCTAGTCTGGTAAACGTCTGGTCTCTGTGTATTTTATAACTACAGAAGTCAAATTTGGTTTGGTCTGATCTGATCTGGTCTGGTCTGAACTGGTCTAAGACTGAAAACTGTCCAAAAGAAAACATTCTAAGTACTACGGACATCTGTCCAAAAGAAAACATTCTAAGTACTACGGACATTAAATATCTTGTACTAGAAAAGGATTAACAAGATACTACACAAATGAAGAGTACATATCCATATACAAAATTTGGCAACCATTTAATGATATTTCAATTTAAAACGGGTTCAAGTCATTTAGTAAAACTCCAATAAGAAAGTGAATGAAATGAATAAAATTATGTGGTGAATTATTCTAGTATTTTTTTTTTAGAAAAAGAAAGTTGATGGAGATGCATTGATAAATGATATGAGAAAATAATCAATCCATTGTGGATGTAGAGACATGAATTATTAATTTAGAACAAGGTGAATTATTCTATATACTCATTCTAAAATGTTCTATAATGAACGATAAAAAATAGATGGCGATTTGTGTTTAACGAAAAATCATATACATAGTACGTACTACGTACTATACTTACGTACACCAGGCTATGCACCATCTCCACCTAAAATAAAAATAATTTTCAGGTTTGGGTGGGCGGACCTGGTCAGGCCATCCCCACCTTGCCTCTGCTTATGTAGTTGTGTGTACAATTGTTCGTCGTCTATGCTAATGTGTGAATGGTTGGTGTCATCTTATTGTAAATGTTGGTGACAACCGGTGGGCGTAGTTTAACCGGTAGATAGGGGATGCCACAACACAAGGGGTAAGTCTCGGGTTCGAATCCCGACAACTGTGATGGGAGATTACGATGTTAAAAATGCATAGGGCCTAAGTAAGTACTAGGGCCAAAACCCTACTCTTTATCTGCCAGCTTGTGATTAAAGTCCAACTTACATCCTCTCATCTAACTGTCCGGTCGCTATTGGGGCCCCTAAGGAATGTGGTGTCACCTTTTTTTTTTCTTTTTTTCCTTTTGTAAATCTTGGTGCAAAAAACCATTTTATTTGAACCAAATGAACATTGTAAATGGTCATATAATATGAGATAATTGTATTTGTCACACAAATTATTATTCAGGCTTCAAGGGCAAAAAATGTGTACCAAAATGTTTTAGGAACGATACAAATTTGCTAAAAAACCTTCTGGTGCATGAGCTATTATTTTAACTACTTAGATTTCTCTTGAAGGGCGATATCATCATTATTAAAATCTTTTTATGAAACTTTATCCGCCTGTAGCCTTACTCCACAAAGATACCACAATTTTTTATTCTATGTGACGGCGAACCTCTGATTTATCATATACACCATATTATTGAACTACAAACTTAACACCACAGAAGTAAAAGAAATTGAATGTGTTCATTAATAATGTAATGAAGGGCCGTCATTAAATAAAGTCTGGTTTAGTTGTGGTTTGCTTAAATAATTAATGATATTTTCTTTTGTACTGAAATATGCTGGTCTGATTTGGTAAATATCTGGTCTCTATGTATTATATTTTATAACTACAGAAGTCTTGAAAACACTCTAAAAGAAAAATATGATCAGTTTGGTGTCAAAACATGGCACATTTAGTTTGATTATATGGTGTTTACTTGGTTTTTGAACTTGGAAACAATTAGCTCAAAGAATTCCATTTTCCATGGAAAGAGTTCGGAATATATATACTGATTCATACGTAGTATTTTTTAATGGGTCCTTGATGCAATGTTCCTTTATAATGAAGTATTTTCTTTCTTTGATGACTAGAAAGACAGGCATTGTTTGATTAATTCATTAATGAGTTTTTTACAAAAATATTACTAAAATAAAACTTATTCACACAAATATGACTACAGTTACTACAATATAGTGTCACGTTAACTTTAATTCAAAAAATAAAAATAATCTTTATTTTAGTTATAAATATGTAATTATGATTTAGTCACTACTTATTATTTTAGTTATAAATATGTAATTATGATTTCATTACCACTTTAGTCACTAGTTACATTTTTGTATAATCTTTATTTTAGTTATAAATATGTAATTATTACTTAATTAATTGATTAATTACCGGTGGAGTCAGGACCGGCCATGAGGCCATTTGACCTAGACAAATGTCTAGAGCCCCAAGTTTTATAGGGCCTCCAAATAAAAAAACTCCGATCCAAGTACTTCTATTATACTTCCTATATGTGTAATTAAATTTGAATTCCCAAATGCAATCAATGAGATCCACTAATTAAATCAGTAAGGACTTTATACATTTTATGCATGTACGTAGTCTATAATTTTAAATAAAATTATAAAAGTTAACATTTTTTAATCACGTTAAAGAGTTATAATTAGGTATGGGTCAATTTTAATTTATTCTATTATTCTATTCTAATTCTAACCTTATTGGTATAAATATTGACATGCACTTGAGGTCAATGTCTAAAATAATTGAAATACATACGCAATAATTTTTTATATGTTGGGAGAATTATACCCCTTATGGTTGTTTTTTTAGACAAACAAAAATTATGTATAATCAACTAGGTCAAGGGATACATGGACAGAGCTAGGGGTTGGCCAATCTAGACCGATTCACCCCAAATTTAAAAAATGTTTAATGTTTAGTATAAAAAAATTATGTTTTTTTTTTCACATATCGGCCCAATCACTCAGTGCTGGCTCCATCCTTCAAGAGATTTATACATTTAATGAGTTAGCTATGTTATCTATTGATAAATGTGTTGCCCAAATTTGATTGTAATTATATTATTATTATTTTTTTGCAGAGAAAAGACTTAGCTTCCATTAATCAAATCATTATCCAGAATACAAGAAAGAAACGGAGGAGGATCATGAAACCAAGCCGCCTTAGCAATAGTGTGGGCTAACTTGTTCGCTGACCGCCTAATAAAAGAGAACGAGATATTAGCAAAATTCTTCGCTGGCACTCCTATGTCTTCCGCAATCAACCCAATAGAGGAACAACTGGCACTCTTCCGGATATCCGAGATAGCACGTGAAGCGTCTGACTCCACCTCTATATTCTGCCATTCCGTCCCCTGAATTCAGCTGAGGCTTCCCTTATCCCGATCAGTTCCGCCACCAAAGAAGACAACATTCTACGCCACGGTAATGCCTTTCCAGCCACAAAGTTATCCTCCTCGTCACGCAAGCACCAGCCCAACCCGCAATGATCTGGCCGAATTGCAGCGTCCACGTTTAGCTTTAATCTGCCCGGAGCTAGCCTGCGCCAATTAGGAAAAAAAGAACCAGCAGCCGCTGCACTTTTTCTTTTCTCAAACTGCGCTTGGCACCAACCTGAAACAAAACATTTGGCTCTAGCCATAAAATCCTTGATAGTTGAAGAAGTGTGCTGCCACACTCTCTGGTTTCTAGGGATGTCAAAAAAAAAACCGACCCGCAATGACCCGCCCTGGCCCGAGACATTTGGGGCGGGTCCACCCCGTCTTGCAAATGGGGCGGGTCCGCCCCGCCCCGCCTATACAATGGGGCGGGTCCGGGTATTAGAATTGACCCGTGCCGCCCTGCCCCGCCCTGCCCCGACCCGCTCAATATATAAGTATACATAATTTTTCTTAAACTATACTACAAATATACTTCAACATACATATGTGTGTATACAATAAATCATAAAAGCTTTGATCTTATAATATATAAGATATTAATATATATTAGAATGAGATGAACGATGGATTATCGATGTCTTCTTTATACATAGCATTTTAATACATATATTCAATGATTAATATAATTAAATAGCTTAATTATTCAAGTCTGAGTAATTTTTCCTTAATTTTTGAAATATTTAGCGTATCATGAATTTGATTTAATATATTAATTTTTAATTATTATTTAGAGATAAACTTTATGTAGATTCAATTGGTAACAACTCCCCACAAATAAAAATACGTACTACCTAATAAGGTTACGGCGGGGCGGCCGGACCTGCCCCGCCAAGTCACGGGGCGGGTATGGGTCTTGCAGTACCCGCCCCGCCCCGACCCATTGCCATGCCTACTGGTTTCTTTCACACCAGAGGGCCCAACACCCCCAAACCAAAACTTCCAAATCCTCTTTTCTCTTTGATTTAAATTCTATCTTGAGTTGCTCCAGGAAGTGATCTCCTCCATAGCTGGCCCAGCTCCACGAAACCGATCTCCATGCTTCTTGCGCAACCGGGCACGACTTGAAGACATGCAATAAGGATTCGCCAGTTCTGCCACATAAACCACAACTTGCTGTACAGTTCACTCTTCGAGCTATCAACAAATTTTTTGTTGGTAAACATCCGCTACATACCTGCCAAAAAAAGATTTTGAGTTTAGGATGAATTTTCCAATTCCACATACCAGTCCACCCTGTCCAATAGTCGGGATTAAGCTCTCCAATAAGACGTCGATAGCAGCTCCTAACCCGAGAACCGTCCGTCCTCTTCCCACCTCCACTGTTTTGCATCAGGAACCGGACGAAAGCTAAGGGGAATCCTCCGAATAAGATCAGCATCCCTACCATCCAGAATGTCCTCCTCCCAAGCTTTGCCATTTTCATCCATGAGATTCCTAACCACGGCCTCCTGCAATCCTTCCCCCGCCACCGTAATAACCCTCGGGTTAATTGGGTCTGGCAACCACGGGTCCTCTCAGATGTTAATGGACCTGCCATCACCAACCCTTCACTTGAAGCCATCCCGAATAATATTCTGAGTTTCAAATAAACTCCTCCAGACGAAAGAAGGATTATGCCCAAGAGTAGCTGTAAAAAAAGTCCCCTTTGAAAAGTAACGGGATTTAAAGACTCTTCCAACAAGGGAATCCGGATTGTTAAATATTCTGAGTCACCTTTTTCGGAGTATTAAGAGAAACCCACTCCTTCCCGCGAATACCCGAACCCGACTTCCCTTTCCACCAGTACCCATTCATTAAAACTTCAATCTCCCTGCACAGATCGTTTGGAAGAAGAAACACGTTCATTGTATAGTGTTAGGTCCCTGTTTTTCTAGTCTAGAATATGTATGTATGGAAGATGGATCTATGATTTGAAGCTTTCCATTGATGTGAAGGTTTTACAGAATGATATGAATGTTTTAGCGTAAAAACCTTACACGAGAATAGGCACTGCGGCACAGAGAATGTTGAAAAGCTTAACCTAGCCTTTCCCTTAAGGCATATATATAGCCTGACGGGAAAGGTAGGTTTTACAATCATTTGGGCTCCTTTTTCTAGGAGGCCCATACCTAAAAAGGCATGTAAGCCTTTATTACAATTTGCCTTAAAAGGCCTATTCATTATTCTAGCTAGTCTATTTATTTATATAAGCTAAATACAAAGAGCTAAGAAACATTGATCACAATATAATGAAAATATCTCTAACAATCTCCCCCTTTGTGATCAGATGTTCTTGCTTCTTCTTTTCTTCACTTCTGAGCTTTAAAATAATGCTTTCTGAGATTTAGTGCATGCTCGTAATTTCTGAGAGACCTTCTTCTGTCAAGTTGTTTCTCGATGGCTTTCAAGATTTTATCGACTCTTTCCAATTCCTTGATTTCTTCCTTCGAGGCTTCATTCTGTCTTTTATCTAGCTCTTCTTTCCTTGGCTGCAGCTGTTCTCGGATGATTTTCAGAGTCCCATCACAGTATTTTTGAATGTCTTCAACAATCATCAGACGCTTCTCTTCTTTGTGATTCAGATAGATGACTGAGATGGGCTTGTCAAATGTATAATATGCTGTAAAGGTTTCAAGCCCAGGTCTATCCAAGTCCGGTCGTGTAAGATTCGCCTTTGAATAATTGTGCTCTAGAGTCATCTGGAGATCATGGGAGGCGTAGAACCGAACTTGTCTTGTCATGAATCTCTTTATGGCCTCAAAACCTTCTCTAGCAAGTCTGTCTTTGTGCACTGGGAGCTCCCTGCATCTCATGAACATTTGATAAATATCATCCATATGCAGTAGGAAGAAGTCATTCTCTTGACAGGTGAACTCCGAGCCATCGGTACGTTGTAGACGAAAGATCAGGAACTTAATCGTCTCCAAGTAGTCTTCTGTGATATCCAGGATTTTCGATATAGGACATCCACTTGTTGCAAGATTATGATTTAGAACTTGTCTTCGTTCCCCTGTGGATCTGTGTCCTAGCATATACAGGTTTCCTCCTCGGTATTTTCCTTTCAAGTGATTGATTCCTCGCATCTTTAATTCACTGTCTTTAATTCACTGAACTTCTTGATTTTTTCAGGTTGTCGCCAGATTTTCTCTCGGATTTCTTCTAGGAAGGGGGCTTTGATTCTAACAATTTCCCATTTTTCTTTGACTGGTTCTGGTGCCTTGGGATTTTCTTTATGATTCTCCCCTTCCTTGAGTTCATCTTCATCGAGTCCAATCATTTGTGCATGATATTTGTTGAGAAATTCTCTGAGTTGCCAGCTTCGACACATTTCGTACTGCTCCGCTTCCACTCTAAGATCATCCCACTCTGTCCACTCGCGAGGCCACTGATCATGAACTAGAAGGTCTTCCAGTTCATCTTGTATTTGATTACCAGAGGGCTTAGAGTGAGCTTGTTGTTGTGTCGAAGGCGACCTGTCATGTGAAACACCGGGATCCTCAGGATTGCCCGTTACACCAGATTAGAACAGGGTTCTTTCTGATGGCCTGAGTAAAATGGTGTACTTGACGTAGCAACCTCAGGACTTCCACTCCATCCTTGGACAGCACCGGTAAAGGATGCGCCTAGGAGTGTTGTTTCTAGCTCGACCGGGCTAGATGTGGGTGGATTGGCTGTTTGGCTTTTGTGTTGAGTGGATGGTGGGGGCTGATTGTTCGAGGATTCAGGTTGGTTGGATTGCGTAGAAGGTTGGCTTGTCGACGCATCACGCTCAAGCATCCTTTGTCTCTTGTTCTCCCCCTCATGAGGATCCGAGTCATCGGGGTCCTCATGCGAACGTTTGTGACCGAGGAAACTATCACGGCATGAGCTGTCAGGCTTAAGGATCCGAAGAAGGTCTTTTTGTTTCTGGGTTAGGTTGCCTTCTTCGGTAGCTAGTAGTTGATCTAGCATAAGGTTTTCGAGTACCTCGAACGGTAAAGTTTTTGGGTCAGGAAAAGGTGTGGTCGAAGTAGAGGAGGACACTAGTTCTGTATCCTGGGTTCCCCTCGAAGCAGTAGGTGAGTGGGGTAGGGTTGTGGATGGTTCAGAGGTTTGTTGGGTAGGTATGATAGGAATTGGTTGGGTTTGTTGGGTATGTGAGGATGATGGTTGGGGTTGGATGATGTCATTTAGCAACGCCGGGGTGTTCCTGAATTCCTGTGCCCGAGCGGTTATTGCTTCGTGCACCCATGGCTTAATGGTGGAATCCAAGAAACGCTGTAGAATGACTGAAAGGTCGGTAGGGTCAGGGTTTCCGGTTACAGGGGTAGTAACCGTTGTCACAGCATCAGTATAGATTTCCGAAGTGTGGCCTGCAGATAATGATGGAGATATCTGTGGAGAAGCAGGACTTCCGATCATCATTGACGTATCTCCGATCGTTGAGGACAGGTAAAGTGCACTTGTTGTGTGCAGTGGTGTGAGCAGTGTATGTGTCCTAGAAAAAGTGGAAAATGTTGGGATGGTGGAAACTAGACTCAATGTGCTAGAAGGAGGGGTAGTGGTCTGGGGCGGAAGACCACAAAGTAAATCCTCAGCTGCTTCGTAGGGAGACAGCGAGGTGGGTATAAGATCCCCAATATGTGAAACTACTACCTGTTGGGAGGCAACAGAGTGGTTTGGTGAGGCTTGTGCATGCGCAGTTGGGCTAGATGCTGCGTCTTCTACTCGGAAACTGAAAATATCAGTTTCTGCACCTATGGGGTTAGCCTGGTTTATTGTGTCTAGGTCAGAGCAGCTGTCATACAAAGCTAACTCTTCTGCCAGGTTGCTTGTGGTTTGCACTCTTTGCATAGGAGTAGATGATGAGGCAAGGTCATGACGCACCTTGGAGCGAGTCTCACTGATGATATTTCCTCGAGTGTCCTTGATTTGGTGAGACTGCTCTTGTGTTGTAGCCCGAGAAAGCCTGATAACGAGTCGTCCTTTCTTAGCGCGGGCTTTCTCGACTTTCTTGCCCTTTGCATTGGCGTTGTTGTCATCCTCATCATCATCATCGTTGTCGTCCTCAGCCTTGCTCCCAGAGCCCTCATCGTCAGCGTCTTGTGTTGTGGCTACGCTTGGCGAATCACGGGTAAACTCTTCAGCACGGGGGTGGCCCTCAGCAGACATAGTCTGATCATCATGGGGCCGGCTTGCCACTGGTCTCTGTGGCTGGGTTGAACTCTCAGGACCCTCACTTTCTCTCGGCTGACTCCCCGGGGTAGGCTCAGGGGGTTTATCTGAGCCATAGGGAGTATGATACCATTCTCCTCGCTGTAGCGTATAACATGTGGATCATTGCGACCGGCTAACAGGAGGAGAGGGACAGGAATAGGTAATGGTACCAGTGAGCGTACCTCTGGCATTCTCTTCAGATATTGGAGGGCTGGAGTGCTGACATTCTCAGATGATTTGCGTCTTTGAATAGTTGGAATTGTTCTGCAGAAGTGTCGCACCAGCAGTGAAAACCATCTCATGTATGGTAGATGTTTGATCTGATCAGTGTCAAATTTCCTTCTTCGCATTTCCAGAATGTCACCCCAGATTAGTGAGGTGAAGTCATAGTTCTTCATGAAAGCGATGTCGTGGAAGATGTAGACGAGGTAACCACTGCATTTGTCGAAGCCGCTGTGCTTGGATGTGCAGCACTTGTTCAATGTAGCCATAAGTGTCCTCCATGGTCGTGGAAATCTTGCTGTCTTGATTGCAGACATCAGTCGGAGAGGTTCAGCGTGGCCTAGTGTGATCATGTCCTCAAAGATTTGCGCTTCTGAGGCCAACACATCATAATGTTCCTCCTCCGGGATTTGTAGCACTTGTTGGACCAGCTCCTTTGTGATTGTGACTCTGGTGTTGCAGATTGTGGCAGCTAGGACGTTATCAATTTGTCTGCCATTCGCATCTACGTCCTTGTCAAGTGTACCTCAGAATTGTTGGAGATACACCTGAGGGACTTCAGCGTTCTTGCTTAGTGCCTTCCACAGCTTGTGGCCTTTGAGAATGGAGACGACCACGTCATCTTGGCATGAGAACACCTCAGGGTCCAACTGTGAGTTTGTAACGCCCCTCTCAGGGTTAACGGAAACGTTACACTAACTTACTACTTTTAAAAATAACTGCAATATAATGGCCATCTATTTAAGAAAATAACCCTGATAAAATCTCAAATATAACTAAAATATAGCTCCAAATAAAAACTCAATAAAATCTAGTTATCACCAGCAAATGTGATAACCACCTGGATCCAGGAATTTATTCAAACTTCAAATAATCCAAATAAATACTCCGAACTTAATCAAATAATATCAATCACTTTTCATAAAATTGAAACACTTCAATAAAATAAACTAGCTAGAAGCCGCCAAGGTCGTTCCCGTTAACTCATCTTGGCACGCGTTCCACTCTCTCATCATCTTCCTAGGCCTTGGCCTTACCTTCACTATCTGTACATGCGAAGAAAGAAAACTGATAAGCTTTACGCTTAGTAAGTCACTATGGCTCCACAAAAATATCTAGAAGTCTATGCCAATTTATCAATAGATAAATTTAGGCTATAAGCATGCACTGAACAATTAACTAACACATAACTTCTCAAATACATTCTGAGAGAGATCTCAAAGGAAAATATTTTCTAAAATATTTTTTCTCAAAACTGCTGGAGAGATCTCAAAATTTCTTTCTCAAAACATCTCTGTAAAACTTTCTGAAAGAGATCTCAACACAACTTTCTGTAAAACTTTCTGAAAGAGATCTCATAAACTTTCTGTAAAACTCTTTGTGGCTAATTTTAACTGTGGGCCCGTGATATGTACTCAAAGGCGCCAATCCGACAGCTCAGGGGAGCGACCCACTAAACATATCGGACTCTCTGAAACTGATAAGCTGATAACTGATAAACTGAGGGAACTTGTTCCCGAGTACATATCACCTGATCTTTCACTTTAAGTATTAGTTCTTTTTATGGTGACGTTTGACTAAAAATACCATTTATTCTGAAACAAAAGTACTGACAAATCTTGATTATGCCAGATAATAAACATAACTTAATCTAGCAAATAACATAACTCATCACATAATTCACATAGTTCACATAATAGCAAATAGTCTAAAATTATCTATTAAAAATCAACCAGACTTCTTTCTTGCATTTGGTTGAACAAACATGTACAGGTGGTAGTGAACTTACCTGTCAAAAGCTGAACTCAGAATATACACATAAATGTGGCACCTTGATAACGTCTTCTGGTAAGCTCTTCTCTTAAATCTTTAGTTATAGAATAATATAAAGTAAGAATTTTTTTCCAAAGTACAGCTGAAGTATGTGAACGAATACATCAGCTACGGTTATAAACTAAACATGAAGACTATAAGAGTCTATCTTTATCTTTATCCAAAATAGATCTTATTTACCAATGAAAAACTCTCTTAATCCTCATGCATTAGCCTAGAAATACGTGCATAACTTTTAAGTGTTGAAACAAAGCTCCATTTGATGAAATATAACCGCAGCAGACAAAAACAAACTAGAAAGTGGCTGCCAATTATAATAGATACCTGACTTGGAATATAAAAAGTTTCTCAACATCCGTTTGTAAAACAGCCCAATTGTAAGAAAGATTTGGATAGAGGTAGCATAAGTTGGGGCTGATACTAAAGGGCTTGATATATATTAAGAAAATTGCTAATTTCTATCACAAACTGCTGTTCAAGAATTGAAACTAATCCTCCCCAAATCCGAGTGAAATAGGCAGCAGCCTTGCACGTTAGAATCATTTTATTTATTCTTGTTTGCAAAACAATCCTACCACTTGAATGGATACAGTTCTATTATTTATGAAGAAAAAGACTGCAAAAAAATGGAAGCTTCATATCAGGAAAATTTACAGTAAATCTTAAATCAAACTATTTATAGGCAGAAACGGCTAGAGTAAAAGATATATAGGAGTTTTCGTTAGGCGTTTGGAGGAGTGGGGAAAACCTTTCGAGAAGAGAAGGAAACAGTGGAGGAGGAGACGGTTACTGAAGTATTTACTCGTTGATATCTTTATACATACGTACCTTCTCTAGGGATTCAATCTTAAGCATATTTTCTGGGCTTAATAAACTGAGTTGGGCTTGTAAACATCTCTTTAAAAAAAATGATTAAAATTATTTCATCTTTCAAATTAAATTGAATAAGTTTTATAACGTTACTCATTTCTTCACTTACAAATATTAGAGCTTACCAGTCAACATTACCTGCCACAAACAAAACATGTTAAATAATATCACATTATTCACACAAGTAACTTATTTAGCTGACTAAAATAAATAATGATGATTAATATAACTAGCCCGTAAAAAAAATCGGGGTGTTACAACTCCTCCCATCTTATAAAAGTTTCGTCCCCGAAACTTAGAACAACTCGGGATAACGACGTCTCATAATATCCCAATCTATACTTTTGACTTAGCTTTAGTACAACTATAATTGCTCTAATACCTTTCACAAGGTTACTTCACTTTAGTATCATGTGACTTTAATGTATATCATACTGATCATGTTTTTCTTCTTCGGGAGACATACTACTACTTACGACTACATAAAGATCTCAACAACTTCTTAATAATTGACCTTAATAAGGAAACTTGCCTAAATACTCTCATGTTTTCTGTTAACACTACAACACAAACTCACAAGCTCACAATGTAGAATATGTACATTAATTACTTTGCCCTATTTGCTTATTAAAATAAAAAAAAAGAAAGACAATAGTAAATTAGAAATATCCTCAAACTAAAACATCTTAAGGGCTTAAAATATAACTCAAGTTTGAGGTTCTGCCTGCGCAAATTCCAGGACTAAAACTCTAAGAAATCAACTATGTAGCTGACAAAAGAAAATGCTTTCACGTTACAATAAAAGAAGATTGTCCATATTTTGAACTAAAACTCCACTTAGAACAAATAGACCATGCCTCTAATGCAGTAGACAATTTCATTATCAAAATTAACATTTTCTTTCTTAAGTGTCAAGTTTCTTCCAATTTCTTAAACAACTTAAAACACTTTAATTAAGGAAATCGATCTGCCTTCAAAGAAGATAATAAATGGTGGTGTTGCTTTATAAAAGACTTTTAAACATTAGAAACGGTGAGAATTAATCCAATATAGCAGAAAATTTAAATTCTGTGGAGCATAGATTTCTTATACTTCAATTGGATTTTCAAAACAGGTCTTACATTTTCCTCATGTCAAACATAATTAGAGGAAGAGGCAAAATAAAGAATCGTAAGGATAGCATACTAAAATTAATACCTGAAACCAGTTTATTATCGAGGAAAACAAACTTTCTCTAGTTAGAGATGGTAATCCAAAACTCAATCAGTAGCTTGGTTCAGTCAATTGAAAAAGGAGAAGAATTTTAAGAAGGAGAACTGAGATTTCTTTGTAGAGAAAACAGAGAGGTGGCATGCCACTAGTAGGAAAGGAAGTGTTGTTTCTCAAGAGACTTTAAACAGATGCTTTCCTTTTAAGAATTTTATTCAAAGTAAAATTAAACATCAAGGCTGGTCCAATATTACATTTTCGAGTCTACTAATATTTAATTTGACTTACCTATTATAAAAAAAATCCCCTTTTAAGGTTTGAAATAGTTTTAAACTACTAAACTCCATCATTATCTTTTTATAAACAGAAAGACCCTACTATGGTCCTATACTTCTGGAATTCAAAATTTTAACTTACTTGATTAGTATGCTGCAGTAGTCATGAAAGCTGAATCTAGCTTGTAATTAGAATTTCCTTTTATCTTAAATTTTGAGCTTGAACAAAAATAACTATTCGTCATCAGATGACCATTGGTCTCCTTAAATCCTTGAGCACAATTGATTATCTAAAGCTAATAGTCTTAATATCTTTGAAAAAACATTAAAATCTCCTGTGGATACAACTTTTTGTGAATAAATAATATTATAGGTTTTGAAACTAAATCTTCTTGGACACCCACTAAAAACTCGGCATGTGGGTTAACACTAAAATGTCAACATTAAAGGGGCTTAATTTCAAGTTTTTCATTTTTCTCAAATGAACGACATCATAAATGTTTCTGTTTAACAAAATTGACGTTGTCAATAGACATAAATGTCTGACACAAAATAATAG